ATTTATTTGAGAGAGAGATGAGCAGGGGGAGGTGCAGAGGGAGAGGGAGAAGCAGACCCCCCGCTGAGCCAAGAGCCCGACAACATGAGGCTTGATCCCAGGACCCTGAGATCATGACCCGAGCCAAAGGCAGATTCTTAACCGACTGAGCCACCCAGGCACCCTAAAAAAAAATCTGTCAGCTTTTAGCTGTTTTAGTTATTTCCTGAACTCACCCCTTGACATTTTTCACTGGACCAGTTTTTTAGCTTTCTTTTAGAACATCTCACATAGCCCCTTTTCAACCATTTGTTACTTTCACAGGGGAGTGGCCTTGAATCCTAAAATCCTTACATTGGAAGAGACTTCCAAAGGTATCCTGTTCAACTTTCCATGTAATGGGTAGCTTATCAACTTCCAAAATAACCCATTGGTGACATTTTACAGAAGCTCTCTAATGGTTTCTTGGGCCCAAACTATCAATTCATTCATTTACTCATTCAGTCAGCCAACACAGTTACTAAAACATCTATTGTTAGCCAAGCACTGGAAGTTAAGTGTGTGTGTGTGTGTGTGTGTGTGTGTGTGTGTGTGTGTGTGTGTGTATCACCATTCCTGTCCTTCGGGAAATGCTACTCTAGTGGGGTATAGAGAAATAAGCAATCGCAATCACTAACTAGAGATATACCATGAGTAGGAGAATAGGTCATTTCTTCTGCATGACTGAAGGTTTAGTTTGTGAAGGGCCTCTTTCTGCTGCCTCAATTAATACCATCTTTCTAGTCCACCACCAGTTTTTCAACTACGTAAAAAAGAAAATGGGGGGAATCCCTCTGCTTCTACCTTCTGCCTCTGTCTATCCTTGACTTGCCCTTAGAATAATCTTTCTAAATGCAAATATTGGTTTGTTACCCCTCTGTTAATAGGCTTCACATTGTCTCCCCTTCAAACTGACATCTAACTCTTTGGCACACCTTACAAAACCTCACCCTTTCTGGTTCATGCCTACCTCTGGTCTCATCTACACCATTTTCACCAGATTCTCAGTGCCCCAGAACTTCATGCAGTTTCCTGGCTATATCGTGCTTACTTACCTTTCTGTCATATATGCTGTTCCTGCTACCTGGATCGACTGCCAGTCTTGTCTTCTTGGTGAACTCTGGGGCACTGAGAGCTGAAAGAAAATGGTGTACAAGGAGGAATAAATCATTTCTTCACTCATTTGTTCATCCAACAAATATTTCCTGGCTGCCCATTCTGGCACAGGCTCTGGGGTAAGGCTGAAGACAGAGATCATTTCCTGGTCTAGAGTAGCTTGTAACCACCAGCAGTTTATTTTTCAGTTTAGGTCTGTCTTGGGCTCTGAGAATGCTTACTTACAAGACTCCTACCACTGTTTTGACAGGAGCTCCCTGCAAACCCAGGACCTTGCACACTGGTTTATCCACTAATAGACACCTGCCTGCAACTATCACTGAATAACTTGCCAAACAGGGAGAAAGGCCCTTTGAGGGGTTTGGGGCAACTCTTCACCTTCTTGCACCCTGCAGCCTTTGCTGCCAAGATAAGCTTCTGTGAGTCTAAAAAATTCTAATCAAGACAAAGAAATTGCATAGAATGAAAATGCTTCTTCCCTGCTCTTGTAAATCAGAACAGTTGTAAAATGAAGAAAATTAGTACTTTAACATTCCTGTCTCCTCAAGCAGTCGTTTTAAGTGAGTCATCTACAAACTCAAGCAATTGGTAAGGACAGTTAGTGGCCATTTATCATTTTAATTGATTTGTTTCAAATAAATAGCAAATGGGGTATTTTGGTCCTAAATTATGCATTAATCAACTTCCTAACCGAGCCCTTTTTTACATAACTGTATCAATGAGCAGTGAAAGAGACACAGACAAAACTGTCATGATCCTTGTGAGCCTTCCCTGTCTTTCTGTCCTTTAATCATGATTCTTAAACTTATGATCAAAACTCAGCACTTTTCATTCTGACTAGTTGTAGATCTCTGCCTAAAATAGATGGCCATTTCTGAGGTGGTATGCATTTTTGTTTCATTTTTCTGGCTTATTGAGGCATAATTTACATACAGTAAAATTCACCCTTTTTAGGTATTTAGAATCTATGAATTTTCACAAAATTCTATAGGTTGTGCCGCCACTGAAATCAAGATAATAGAATTTTCTGTCACCCAAAATATTCCTTCATGCTCCTTTGTAGTTAACTCCCTCCCTATATGGCCAACTACCGCTCTTATTTCTGTCTCTATAATAGTTTTGTCATTTCTAGAATTTCATATAAATGGGATCAAAATGTGTAGTCTTTGAGTTTGCTTATTTCACTTAACATAATGCTTTTTTATAAAAGATTTTATTTATTGAGAGAGCGAGCAAGCATGAGCAAGGGGAGGGGCAGAGGCAGAGGGAGAGGGAAAGAGAAAAATCCTAAGCCAACTCTCTGCTGAGCATGGAGCCCAACATGGGGCTCGATCCCATGACTCTGAGATCATGACCTGAGCTGAAATCAAGAGTTGGACACTTAAAAAAAAAGCTGGACACTTAACCAACTGAGCCACCCAGGTGCACCTAACATAATGCTTTTGAGTCATCCATGTTGTTGCAATTATCCATAGTTTGCTGCCTTTTATTGCTGAGTAGAATTCCATTATATGAATGTATCAAAATTTGTTTATCCATTCACCATGATGGACGTTTGGATAATTTAAATTTTTTATATTATGAATAAAGTTGCTATAAACATTTATATTCAGGTTTTTATGTGGATATATGTCTTTATTTCTCTTAGGTAAATACCAAGGAGTGGGATCCCTGGGTTTTAGAAAGTGTGTTTTTAACTTTATAAGGAAATGTCAAACTGTACTGTTGCTGATTCCTATCAGCAATGTAAGGTTCCAGTTGCTCCATATCCTTGACACCATCGTTATTGTATATCTATTTCAATTTTAGACATTGTAGTAGATAGCTAGTGATATCTTTTTGTAATTTTATTCCACATTTTTCCTAATGACTAATGATTTTGAGCAAGTGTCTATTAATTGTTTTTAATTGGGTAAGTTTTTTTTAACAGTTTTAAGGGTTCTTTATATATTCTGGTTATCAGCCCTTTATCACATTTGTTTTCCAAATATTTTTCCCAGTCTGGCTTGTCTGTTTTCTTTTTTATTTTCTTACTATCTTTCAGAGAGCAAAAGTTGTAAATTTTGATGAAATTCAAATGATCAATTTTTTTCTTTTATGATTCATGTTTCTTCTGTCCTATACATAATTACCAGATGTAAGATCATGAAGATTTGCTTCAGTTTTTTTCTAGAAGTTTTTTAGCTTTAGGGTTTACATTTTAGTCTATGATCAATTTCAAGTTGCATGTATAGAGTGAGGTTTGGGTTGAGGTTCACTGAAATATAAATATACCCCATTGTTCCATCATTATTTATTGAAAGACTAAGACTGTCCTTTGTCTATTGAATTAAATTGGCATTTTTGTCAAAAATCAATTGACTATGGGTGGATCAATTTCTGGACTGTCTACTCTGCTCCATTGATCTATGTGTTTATTCTTTTGCCAATATCACAGTGTTTTGAATAGTGGTAGCTTAATAGTCTTGAAATCAGTGTGTTTGAGTCCTCCAACTTTCTTCTTTTTCAAAACTGCTTTGGTTGTCCTAGATTATTTGTTTTTCCATATAACTTTTAGAATCACCTTGTAAATTTCTTAAAAAAGAAGGTTGCTTGGGTTTTACTGAGTGTTGAATACTGAGTTGGAGTTGAATTGAATCTATAGATGAATTTTGGAGAGCATTTTAATATTGATAATATTGAGTCCTCTGATCCATGAACATGTAACTAACTACTTGTATCTTGATTTCTTTTTTTTTTAAGATTTTATTTATTTATTTGACAGAGATACACAGCGAGAGAGGGAATACAAGCAGGGGGAGTGGGAGAGGGAGAAGCAGGCTTCCCGTGGAGCAGGGAGCCCAATGCAGGGCTTGATCCCAGGACCCTGGGATCATGACCTGAGCCAAAGGCAGATGCTTAACGACTGAGCCACCCAGGTGCCCCTTGATTTCTCTCATCAATGTTTTTTGTAGTTTTCAACATATAAATCTTACAGTACTTTGTTACATTGATCCTGGAGTATTGCATCTTTTATTGGTGCTATATAGCAAATGGTGCTTTTAAAAACTTCAGTCCCCATTTATTCACTGCTATGTATAAAAACAAAATTCAGTTTTGTATAGTGATCTTATATTTTCCAACCTTGGTAATGTCACTTACTAGATCTAGTAGTTTTTTGTAGGTTCTTTTGGATTTTTTTAGATTGTTATGTTTTCTGTGAGTAAAGACGGTTTTGTTTTTCCTCTCCAATTTTATCTATATTTTTTTATGTGCCTTGCTGCATTAGCTAGTACTTCTATACAGTATGATGTTGAATATAAGTGGTCTAAGTGTGGTTGCTACATTGTTCCTGATCTTAGAGGGAAATCATTCAATCTTAACACCATTAAGTAGGAGGTAGCTGTAGGTTTTTTCTTTTCTTTTCTTTTTTTTTTAAAGATTTTATTCGTTTATTTGTCAGAAAGAGAGAGCACAAGCAGGGGAAGCGGCAGGCAGAGGGAGAAGCGGCAGGTAGAGGGAGAAGCAGACTCCCCCACTGAGCAAGGAGCCCAGTGTGGGACTCAATCCCATCATGACCTGAGCCAAAGGCAGACGCTTAACCAACTGAGCCACCCAGGCGACCCTATAAGTTTTTTCATAGATGTTTTTTATTAGGCTGAGGAAGTTACCTTTCATTTCTAGTTAACTGAGTATTTTTAAAAAATCATGAATGGCTGTTCAACAAATGTCATACTTTTTCTGCATCTATATAAAAATTGCATGGATTTTCTTCCTTTGTTGATATTGTCAGTGGCGTTGCTTGAGTTATGAATGTTGAACCAACCTTGCTTTTCTAGACTAAATCCCATGTGACCATTATATATTATTCTCTTACATTTTATAGATAAAAATCGTAGTTAGATGCCACAAAGTTGTTGGCAATTTTCCTTAATCATATGTGTGTTTTATAGGTCACTAGAACCACCTCCATCTTTACTAAGGGAAGTTCTAACCTTACCTATAATGTAATATAGGTAGAGTGCTTTTCTTCATCTTTTCGTCTTTAAGCTATCAAAAGAGCAAGGGGACGGGCAACAAATATAGCAAGTGTCTTTGTACTAGGCAATGAGTACATTTATTTAATTTAACCTTATTTAATGGGAAATTGAGGTCCAACAAATATTTTGTACCACTGAAGTCTTGCAGTAAATGGTTATAGTCAGAACTTAAATGCAGGTTTGTTTGGTAAAACCCCTATCAGCCCACTAGATTATATTGCCTCTCTGGTAATGAATGTATGTGTAGGGGGTGTCCTTACAATTAGGATCAACAAATGTGATTATATGCCGGTGTTGCAGGGGGACAGAGACAAGGGAGGGTGGGGGAGAGAGTGAGATTAGGAAAGGGAGAAATGTTCTACCACCTTTTATTGCCATTTGAAAATCTGGGCTCTTAGATATCTTGGTTTTATATCTCTGTTCTGTTATTTACTTGATTTGTGGCACATTTGTCTCTCTGAGACTTTTTTTTTAATCTGAAATGTAGAGGCACTACTTGAGTGGCTCAGTCGGTTAGGCATCCAACTCTTGGTCATGATCTTCGGGTCCTGGGATCAAGCCCTGCATTGGGCTCCGCGATCAGCAGGGAGTCTGCTGGAGATTCTCTCCCTCTGCTCCTCCCTCCCACTCACACACGTGTTCGCTTTCTCTCTCTCTCTCTCTCTCTCTCTCTCAAATAAATCTTTTTAAAAATCTGAAATATAAACTGTTAGCACAGGTTGTTATGAGGAATACAGATGATATTTGTAAAGTGCCTTGCACATAGAATGTGCTCAATATAGTGGTATCTGTTACTATCATTATTATTAATTTCTTACCATGAAATGCATTTTATAACTCCAAATAATTAATTTGGGTTTGGAAAATGCCAGTGGGACTTAGGATGATCTCTGTAGTTTATTTAGTTCTTTTATCAAAATAGCCTAGAGCTTCCTTTTTATAAAAATGGACCTAATTTCCTGTACTTTTTACCTACCTCCTCCCTAAGTCAAAACAGTACCAATTTATTAAATCATTTTGCAGATTTGGAAGACTTAAAAGGTTCAGCTGAATGCTTTAGGCTCTGGAAATGAGTATGTGTACACTTCTGTGCTTGTGTAGGTCTTTATGTGGTCTAGAAGTGATTGTCTCAGCCAGGAGGACTAGAGATGCCATTTTCATTTTACATGGGCAACCAACCATGGATAGCTCTAGTCCCTTGGCTCAGTCTGACCATTTCTGAGTCATTGAAACTCACTTCTCTAACTTACACAAGTCACTTCAGACTGTTTGAAGATAATGATTCCTTTTTTCAGTAAGGTTGTTTTGATTATCACAAGTAGGGCCCAAGAGCTGTGTTTTCATCAGTCAAGTCAGGGAGGTAACAATGAGAAAAATGGCTAAGTCTAAGAAAGGGCATCAGGCCATCGTCAAATGACCTTTCAGTGCCTAGGACCTCAGGAGAGCTGTTGGCTCCGACTCTGGCTCCAGCTCCAGCAATCCATAGCTTCTGGGAACTGATTCTCATTTGATTTCCTAACAGTACCCTTCCAACTAAGTGTGCTGTTTGACAGGTGAAAGTAAAGGAAAATCTATTGTATTTTGGGAATTTTTGTATAATATCACACCATTGCTTGGTGGTGTTGTAAATCAGAATTGGTAATCATTAGTCTTTTTAAAACAGGTTTATTGAACTGTGATCATTATACAAAATACCATGTATATTTAATGTACACAATTTGATGGGTTCTGAACATATGCATACACCCTTGAAATCATCACCACAATCAGGGTAATGTACATATTCATCATCTTTAAAAGGCTCCTCCCACTGCCCTTATGTTTGTTTGTTTGGGGTGTGGGGTGTAAGAACTCCTAACTTGAGATTTACCATGCTAACAAATTAGTGACAATAAAATATTTTACATACACTTTTCAAAACACTGACCACATCTTCTAATTTAATTTTCACCTTATAAATTAAGGTAGGTCTTACTTCTCCTTTATGATGAAAAAAAAAACAGACCTTAGCAATATGTTTTCTCAAAGATCACTATTAAATATGGTGCCAGTATCCAGGACCCAGTTCTGATTTTTGTTCAGTGTTCTTTGCATAACACCTCTGGGCCTTGATCCTGATGTGACTCTAAACTTCATTGACCTGGTAAACATTCAAAAACTAAATATCTAATGACCTTTGTCCTTACAATTAGGATCAACAAATGTGATTATATGCCGGGCTTCAAAGAGAGTTCATGAAATAACTAATTAGTGGAGGATAAAGTTTGGGGAGTAACTTCTACCCTTCATACATGTAACTTTCTTTTTTCTAGATTGGCTAGACAGAGTTCCAGTGTCCCAGCAGCAATGTTCAAAGGCTGGTCATTAAACTTTTGAAAGGTGGTTTAATTTAAAATGTTGGGCAGTAAGGTGAGGCCCAGCCTGATAGATTTGCTGGGGCCTCTTGAGTAGCTGCTTTGTGTTAAACACTATTCTAATCATTACAGGGGCATAGAGATTAAAACAAAATTTTAAAAAGTATTATTCCACCCATTAGGACTTCACAAGCTAGCAGACAAGATGGTGGAAGTGTACACAAAGATGCTTCCATATTATTCTTCCTCTAGTCCATCTTCCATTCTTCCAGTAGAACAGTCTTTTGAAAACACATACCCTTTCCCTGCTTAAAACTTTCTGGTGGTTCCCTGTCTTTCAGAGGACCTTGTCCAAGTTTCTTACCAGACATACAAAGCCTTCTCTGATTTGGCCCAGATTATTCTCCCTCTGTACCCACACCTCCACAGCAAGCCCCAGGCACATACCACTCCTTGGGATACTCAGAGCAGCTCATGATTTTTCATGCCTCTGAGTGTCTACTCATGCTGGGTGCTCTGGAGAATGCTGTGTTAGTCTGGGTCCTCTGAGAAGCAGAAATTGATTTTATTAAGGGAAACGACCACCTGTGTGAGACCACGAGGACGGAGAGGGGAAGGATGGGAGTGCCATTAGTCCCTGATGCAAGTCTGACCCCTAGTGAAGAGAAGAGAGAGTAGCTTAGGCAGAAGCTTTCTAGGCTGCTGTGCAGTTGAAGGTTCAGAAAAGCCTTTGGGCAATCCAGGTCAGTGGAGTCCTACCCTGCTGTCTTCACTCATGGGTCAGGTGCAGCCCATTGGAAGTATAGCTTCAGCACAGACATTAGGATGAATTTCTGAGGCAGCAGCTCATTTGTGCTCCCTGTAATTGGAGGCCTTCCTCTTAGCCTCCAGAAATGCCTTTTTTCCATCTTACTCCTCTCACGTGTCCTTAAAAGACTAGCTTTAAATGTTTCCTCTTCTGGGGAACTTCTTGAAGGAAATTCTCAGCAGGTCACATGATGGTCCCCACTGCCTGTAATGACCGTCCCCTAATTTCTGCCTGGTTGATTTCTAAAACACTTATTTGAACCCCTACCACCTATTACGGGACCAAAAAAACTAGTAGGTGCTCAGGAAATAATTGTTGAATGAATGAATTGGTAGAACTTGGACGAACAGATCTAAAGGAGAAGATAAGTTGAGGCAAAGTGAACTGCTTGAGCAAAGCCATATCGGTAGAAGAATGAAGAACTTATTCTGCCTTTTTCTTCTTTGCAAATGTGTCCAAAAACCATCATTTTAGGGAAAGTATATTATGATGCAAAACATTGGGGGAAGGAGTATCTTCCTGGCACTTGAAAATGATTCATATTTGAGAACTTTGTTGAGAACAATGTTTTGAATATTTCCTGAGAGACTTCTTTCCTGAGAGGAAACAGTTGATGGAAATGGAATTTTACTGCTGCCAGGAAAAGTGCGATAAAGATCAAATCTCATACAACTACTACCAGAATAGAAATTTCCATAGAGCAAAGAGATTTCAAAGTCCCACCCAATGGCTTATATGTATTTAGTATTCATTGCAGCTGAACTGTAATTCTGTAATGGAATTTGACCAGTTTTGACACTCCAGTTTAGTAATGTATGAATTAGTGGAGACTCATTCATCTTGACGTTTGCTGACTGCCAGATGTTGGTCATATTTCTGATGGAAAGAAACAGAGAGCTGGCCAGGATCCCAAATCTCAGTACCACTAACGGCCTGCCACCAGCACATACTGCCAGAGGAAAGAGACATGCTGAAGAGAAGGTCCTACAAAATCACTACCCAGCAACTAGAGATTTAGCCCCTTATCCCTATGTAATAGTCTACCCTAGTGACCTGGGTTGGACCACGTATGAAGCAGGTGCTCCTTTTTGCCCAGGTCCATGTCTGTCCTATGCATTCTCCCTCATGTCTTACTTCTCCAGAGTTTCCACTTGAAGGGATGCAGGTTTCTTACCTGCAGTCTGGAGGTGAATAATGGCACCTCCATCACGGGCTTGCTGTTAGGATTCAACCAGGTAATTCATGCTAAAGGCTTAGACTGTGCTTAACATAGAGTATTTCTCCAATAAATGGTGGCTAGGTTTTATTATGATTATACAGTAGAAGCAGGGGTCTGAGGGCAAAATCTTAATATTTCTCTATGAGTATTATCAAAGTTGGTTTTTCATGCATTTGGTGAGTGCCTGTTCTGTGATAAAGCAGCAAGGGACTCTAGAGTAGTTAATCTAACACAGTTGCTGATATCCATCTCTTCTCTCAAGTGAGGACAGTTCATTTTGGCTTACATATAAGCAAAGCCACTTGCTCCTCCCCTGTACTCTGACCTGCTGTGGAATACCTCTTCTTTTTCTCATTGACCTCTCTCTCTCCCCTTCAAATTTCTATTGTAATTCTCGAGGTACGTATAACTCCTCTGTCCCAGACATGTGAAAAAAAAAAGATGGCTGCATGGTGCATTCCCTTCCCTGGTGTTTGTTGATGTGGTTGGGAAGCTTTGACCTACTAGCCTTTGCCTTACATAGCTTTTCCATTTTAGTAGAATAGTTCACTTGGGATGTTACTCATTTACTCTGCCTTTCACTACTACCGGTT